AAGGAAAGTCCGAAATTCCGAGAGCCATCGGGGCTCGACAAAAATTCAAAAAGGTTTCAAAAGAAAATTAAAAAGAGCGCAGCAATTTCCCGCGCGATGTTCGCGCCCAAAAGATCGAAACCGAACCGAAAGAGACGACGTCAACATTTATCAGTTCGCGCGCGCGAATGGCGACGCGCCAGACATCCATCCAACCACTCACTCAACCGGCCATCCCAGGACACACCCAGCCCCGAGGAAGCGACGACAAAGACGAAGAAACAAGGGTACTGATGCAATTTTCCACCGATCCCGATTTCCCGTATTTGGCCCAATCTTCCCAGCTTAGGATCCCTCGTTGCAACCGCGCAGAAACTCGCGCGTTGCAGAAAGTGGTTCTTCACATATGTGACGCCCAGGGGGTTCCAATATTAGCAAGCTCCTGCTTGCTTGTTGACACGTGTCGATTTTTCTAATCGATCGACACGCGGAGCACTTCTCTTTATGCCACTTACCGTTCGATTGCGTGCGGACGTCATCCAACGTGGCAACTTTGCTCTTCTACTAGTTCCTCAGATTGGGCTCTCGACGATCCAAGGACGGGATCTTTCTCGTGCCGTCGCCGCGACATGTGCCATCAACCATGCATCAGTGTAACAGGAGGGTAGATCGTAGACCTTAGACGTTCCCGGGGAATGGCAGTCGGATCATCGAGGGTGGAGGTGGCGGATGGTTCAGGGGGAGAGGGGGCATGAAGCGGTTGATGGCGGGAGAGGCGAAATTAGGAAGGGTAGCGTAGCGGAAGGAGCGATGGATGTGGGGGAAACGAGGGACCTCATGAAGATGATGAAAAGCGGCAATATAATCGGGATAGATGGTGGAGAGGGTCCGTCGCAGGGCGGTGCAAAAATCTTCATAATTTTCGCAGGCGGGAATAGTCCCTGACACAATACAATATACTTCTACGTGGTTATATTCCCGCGGGTCTGCGCTAAACAGGAGCACATGAAGGAGAAAGGAATCAACCAGAGAGCGAGTAGTGGCGTGTGGATAGACGGAGACTAGAAGGCGGGTAGCGTAGAGATGGTAGAAAAGGTGATGGGGGAAGGGACACCATCCATCGGGGAATGGGGGTCTATGGGGGAGGCGGGTGAGCATGAGGTAGTCACGGGGTCGGCAAGAGAACGACTGGGGACGAAGCCGGAACATTGAGATCTTGATGTAGACGAAGGGAGGATCGGGACGGGGAGCCGGAGGGAGCTGGCGATTCACTTCTTCTTCTTCTTCGGCTCCGTGATCCCTCTGTTGTGGTTCCATCATCTTCCTCTTCTGGCGGTTCTGGATCACGCCGCGGGTCCCCGATCGACGGATCGACAGAGGATACGTCTGTTGTGGGTCGCTTTCCCTCCGCGGTTTTCTGGCGCTTCCGTTTCCTCCGCTCTCGCGCTCGTTCTCGCGCCGCGTTGCGCACTTCAACCTCGAATCCTTCGCACTCCGATCCTGATAGCCCGCTTCCTTCTTCTTCTTCTGGTTCCACCCCCTCGTCCTGCGCCTGCGGCTGGTTTGATTCGTCGGCTATCCCCGCCTCTCTTTCCAATACGTAGTCCGGATCGTCCCTTTCCTCACTCGATGGCTCTTCTTCTTCCTCTTCTTCATTTGCTCTCCTTATCTCCTCGTCCTGTGCTACGTTTTGTCTCGCAATCGGGTCCCAAAACATGAGATCGGTAACGTCGATGTCCAAGTAGAGCGCCTGGGAGGGATAGAGACAATTGTCCTCGTCGATCTCCGTGCACATGGACCACACAAAGTGTGGCTCGAGCGTTCGAGACAGCACGTGGGTGCCAGGCTGCTTATCACTGTGAGACAAGATGTCCAGGGGCAGATCGTCCGCCAGCTGAGTCAAAAACACCAGCAACTCGTCCGTTATCAAGGTGAGATTGCCCTCGTCCACCTTTCCGAACAGGAATCCCAGTAGGTCGCCCTGTTCCGCTGTCCTCCAGGCTTGGATGATCAGAATCTCCACGCTGTCTTCTGGGTGCTCCGGCCCTTCTCCGAATGGGGCCGCCTCTGACCAGCGGAACTCTATCTCGAGTAGGCAAAAAGCGAGTTCGATATAGTTCTCCCACTACGCGTCCCACTTCCCCTCACTCAATAGCGGCGCACTGTTCTCCTTAACACGGTAAGAGAGGGTGGGAGCCCGCGCAGACTGCCAAAGGGTGGGGATGCTGGAGGGGAGGCTGAAATAGGAGACGCGACGAAGACTCATTGGGGCGGCTCAAAGGGACGAAGCTCCGAAAGCACAATCGCGGGCGATCTTCGAGACGAGCGGAGGTGGAGGTCCGTGCCATGTGCCGGTACGATGGTATCTCCTCGTCGAGCCAGAAGATCCGTCCACACCATCCGTACTTCCCCAACCCAAGTGCGCAACGTTCGATAGATGTCGGAGTGATTCGCCGACGGAATCGCTGTGATATCCCCCGTAAAGACGACAATGACAACGATATGGCTAATCCCGGAAGGGGATAGCCGTCGAAAGGCCGAGATCTCGGCCAGAACGCGCGTAGTTGCTTCTTCCGCGAATTGGAACTCTGCCGCCGCGTAGATCGTCGACGTACTGAAGATAGCCGCAAACCGGAGGAGATCTGAGCAGAGATGGGGCCACTGCACTTGCCGTATGACACTGATTCGCCCCCGCGGAGTAAGAAGCCGCGCGCCGATCACTTGTTCTGTCGCAAAGCTCATGGCGATGGTGTCGGGGTGAGAGAGAGAGCAGGAGGGAGACGGAGAGATAGAAGAGAGATAGTCGTCGCCTTCCCTATCGGAAGAGGAGGAATCGGATGGAGGCGAAGATGGAGAAGGAGGAAGGGGATGGAGGTAGGATACATGGCGGATGATTAGTCGAGCCGATCGGCTGCCGGAGACCTCGGGTGCAAGTCGCACGGTGTTCACAGCGTTCGGTCCGAGTTCGATCACGCGAAATCGCCCGAAGAATCGTGGCGCTAGCTTACCTTGGCGAGCACATTTCCTCACTTGCACGATGTCCCCTAATTTGTACTGGGGCCGCAGACCCACATTCCCATTCCGGGCCTCGTAACTTCGGACCTGTTGGCCTTGAGCTAGTTCGGTCATTTTCTGTCATTTTCGGGTCAGCCTGGGCAGTGACCGTTCCATTAGCTCTAGGTGTCGTTTGACCTTGTCCCGAGCCGTAGCCCTGGTGGGCCGTCGGTTCAATGTAGACTCATCCGGGAGGCTTGGTATCGAAACGCAAGCAACACTATTGGTCCTTAATTGGCAGGGGCTTAACCCTGTCGATTCGTGAGGCGTTCCTGGATGGACCGCCAGGATGTGATCGACGATATCGGGTCAGGGTCTCGGATCCCGTGCCGCGATGTTTCGTCGCAACGCTGTCTTTATCATCCGATTAGCGTTTTCGACCAGCCCATTGGATTGTGACATGTGGGGTGCAGTGTTCTGTATGGCGACGCCATGTATGACCAGATTCTTTAACACTTCTCCTCTGAATTCAGCCCCGTTATCGGTCAGGATCTCTTTCGTATCCTGATGCATCCCGAGGAAACGGTTGACATATCGTGCGATTTTTGTGGCTTGCCGTGTGCGACAAGGATACGCTTCGATCCATTTCGAGAAATGGTCGACATATACCAATAGGACTGAATATTCGCAACTATTAGGGCCAGGGGGCACCACTATGTCGGTAGTGTCCATGCTCACTCTTTGAAATGTCCGTTCAACAACTGTGGGCACTATCGATCTTGGCGGCTGAATCGGCGCCTTATCAGCGGCGCAGACTTGATAGTTGGCGACAATGTACTTCATATCGTCGCGGATATTGGACCAATACCACTCATTTTTGTCAATAGCGGACTCCGTGATTCGTACGGCAAAATGGGCCACAGTTTCCTCGTGGGCGGTTTTAACCCAGTCGTACCGCATGAACGGATGCGGCACTACCGTCCAAATCCCACTGCCTTCCGTTTTCCATTTTGGCCCTCCTCCGATCTTCCTTGGTGAAATCCTGTCCGTAGAGATACGGATGGAAGTGCTGGATTTCCCAAACTACCGCATAGCACTCGCCTTGAGGTGCGGAGTCGTTTATTTGTTCGTCTGGTACGGTTCGAGACGCGTACTCGATGACGTGTTCGCGACCATCGTTCCCCATTTGTGCTAAAATAGCGGAAATAGCTTCCGGTTGCCAGTCCGTGATGAGAATGAACTGCTTCGAGGGATCCGGACGAATCAAAATAGGGGTTGTTGCCAGAGCGTCTTTGAGGGTTGCAAAGGCCTGCTAGCACTCCCCGTCCCAATTGAGAGGCTGGTCCTTCCGTAACAGATTCGTTAGCGGTCGTGCAATCGCGGTAAAGCCCTTGATGAAGCGTCGGTAGTACGACGCCCGTCCCAAGAAGGCTCGAACCTGCGTCAGTGACGTGGGAACCGGGGCTTCCTTCACCGCCGCAACTTTTCTCGAGTCCGGTCGCAATCCTCCACGTGTCACAATGTAGCCTAAGAACGAAATTTCCGAGAGGAAAAATTCGCTTTTCTCGAGCGCAATCTTGAACCCAGCATCTCTCAGTGCGCCCAATGTCCGTTCAATATGTTGCGCGTGCCCGTGATAAGTCTCCGAATAGACCAGGATGTCGTCCATGTACACGATCACGCAGAAGTTGATCATCCCTTGCGTCAGCCGTGTCTTGTTGACGAAGTTTTGGAACGTCATGTTCATCGCTCGCTGAAACGTGGCAGGCACATTGCAAATCCCCATCGGACACCGAACCCACTGCCACGTACCCTCAAACAACACAAAGGCCGTTTTCGGTCGATCTTCTTCCCTTACCAGAATATGATGGAAGCCATGTCGAATATCAAACTTGCTGAAATAATCAAATCAGTTCATGAAATCTCGTTCGAAGGTCGGGAGGTCCACCCACACATAGGTACTATACTAGTGATGAGTGTTTCGTCCCATTCGAGCCGGAATGTTGATCTGTGCTTCGTGATCATCATACTGTTATGCTCTAAGCGTGGCCAGCCATGCTCCTGCGAGATGGTGCGCCAGATCAAATAGATAGAGATATGGTGGCGACATGGGAGCTCGTGCACGTGGGGCAGGTTGATTAGGTGGATTAGCATTTTGTTGCAGAACCGGATTTTGCACGTTGGCAGCCATATTGGCTGCTCGTCGGTTAGCCGATCTGCTTCTGGTGACGATAGGGTCGCGTCTGGGCGCGTTCCGAGGGCGAGGCCGCCCACGGTTAGCCAGGTCGCCTAATTAACGTGCTATCAATCCTAAGGCCCTAGCCACGTGTCGGGCTCCTATACCAACCTCACGCCCAGCGCGACTTCCTGATCAGAGTGGGGTGTGGGCTTGGAAGTGCGAAAAGTGGTGTGCCAAGGATTTTGGGGGGAAGTGGGGGAGTCTTAAGGATATGAATGTAATTGGGCGAACGAGGGGTGCGCACGCAAGGGTCTCACAGTCCCATGGGACCAGGACACTG